CAAGGGCGACATGGGCCTGGGGCAGGCAGGAGCTGCTTCTGCTTTCCCCTTGCGTTGTGATAAACGTGAACTACCGGGCTGAATAAACGCACTTTTTGCTTCAAGATGTTGCCACAATTAAAGTAGATTTAAACGAATGGTTATGCCAAGGCTTAGCTGATCCTTTTTTACTTTTACGTTAGGCTGACTTCCCAGTCTCTGCGGTTCACTTGATAACTCTGAATGATCACGCAAGCCCACCTTGTGCCAGTCACCATGTTCTAAACATCAGTTAAAATCGAGGGGAGAGGGGAAATCTGGCTGCATATCTGCTGCTCTGTGCTAGAGACTGTATGTGACAGGCTGGGCCAAGCCAGTCTGACACTCCTAGATTTGTGCTTGCTAGCTCAGAGTTGTAATAAAATCACAGCACGAAGCAGAGGCAGAAACAGGAGCTGTAAGCAGCTGTTTAAGGAAGAATGTGAGCAGGGCAAGCGTATTTGGCCTTTTCCCAGTATTCTTCCACCAACTATCTCACTTGTAAACCTGGACACAAATGCTTCAAATTCTCTTCTGTGAAAAAGAGAATCTCACAAATAGGCAACAAAATAGTAACTACTGATGTAGGAATCCTTTTGAGGGATGGTCTAGACAGCTTTGTAACACATTTGTGATTTTATCATTACAGGAGAAAACTACGAAGTGATGTTGCAGCAGCTTTTCCTAACCTTAGCGCTGAACAATTGACTGAGTTTATTCCAAACAAGGAAGAGCTTAATGTCATCAAAATATACTGTCACAAAGGGGAGGCTGTCACTGTTTACATGAATAACAGGAACCCAATACTGTTTGAAATTGAGAAAGCTCTGTATCCAACAGGTATGGGGAGTGGACTAGAATAATCCTCCTTTTTTACTTACTGGGCACCAGCCTTTCTGCAAAATGTTACCTTGTGTCTGCCTTAAGTACTTATCACTATCGAATCAGTAAACTTAATCTTTAGTGTGTTTATTCTACCAACATCTTTCTGAAATCAGTGGCCTTTCTGGATTGTTTCTGCAACAAGGACATTTACGTGCTCAGAGGTTAAAAGACTTAGAGCTTGAATTAACTAGCAGTTTATTTTTATCCATCACGTCTTCTAATTATTGTAGGGTTGTTCTGCCTTCAGATTTCTTGATTACCCAAGTAACAGGAGAGTGTTTAGTTGTGGTTAGTATTGTACTGCTTAGTCTTAAATATGGGAAGAAGCAACAGCTAGAGAAGTTTTTAATGATGCATCTTTAAATTTGGTTCTGTTTTGGGACAGTGTACACTCTGTGGGTCTACCCAGATCTACTCCCTGCATTTTCAACATGGCCCCCTGTGCTACAGAAACTAGCAGGAGGAGCAGGTAAGGACTAGAACTTCGTAATGTTGCATTGCAAAAAAGGAGTAGCCTTCAAGGCTTTTTTTTACCAGTGGCAAAAATGTACCTGAAACAAAAAAGTATAAAGAGTACGTGCTCAAAAGTAATTCATGGTGATGTCCTAAAAAAAGAAAATAAATTAGCTTTAAAAACGTTTGTGAATGAAACAAAGTAGGCTAAGCTGTTTAAATGCAGTAACCTGTTCCACGTGGGAGTCTCAGACTTGGAAATACCTTCTCAGGGTGATCAGCAACTCTGAACTGGGACACAGAACTGCCTGTGTCATTGCTTTGTCCTTTTTATGACTTCCCTGGAGCAGCTGAGTTCCTTTGCTGCAACCCTGCTTCCCATCAATTCAGAGGTGAACTGGCTTATCCTAGGGATGAGAAGTGAGTTTAGATTGAAACCTTTAACTGTAATCACTGTCAAGTAAATTGAGGATTGTGCAGGTGAGGTTGGATCTGAATTCTTGGATTACTGGCTCTACCACCTAATTATGGATCGAGACTAACAAGAAAGGAGTCTATTTTCTGGAACCTGCTTTGGATGCAGTTCAGACTCATGGGAATCAGGTCTTTATAAACTTTAAATTGCTGAACTGCTCAACCAGAAAAAGATTAAATTGCAGCCACTGGGGCCTTAGTCTGTAAATGGAAGTGTACGTGTAGGAAGAGATGTCTTTTTTTTCCATTACATGGTATCTAAAGTAGAACAGGTCCCTCTATTTACTTTGTTTGCTTTTGAGGAAATAAAGTGTGTGAATGTGTAGCTGTGATAGACATCTGAGCAAGCCTTGCTGCTGACTTGTAGTGACCTAGTTTCTGGGACAAAAAGGAAAAAGTCTTGCTAATGGGGGAAGGAGAGTGATGAAAGAGCTGCAGGTCATTCATCTCCCATGGCAACCAGGCTACCTCTGGGTACAATCCAAAGATAAGACGCTGGCCACCTCCACAATAGCCAACAAAGGCAGAGAGGTAGAGCCACAGCTCAGAAAGAGGAGGAAAGGCAGGAGGCCGTCCAGTGCTGCAGACATGGAGGGAGGGAGCAGATTTAGGGAGCATTCAGTTACAAGCAAGGTAGTGCTATTCGTGATCCCGTTCCATGAATTCAAGTATTTACTGTCTGCCTTGGTTATTTACCTAATATACACATGCTACTTACCTTGTCACGTTAAGGTCTTTATGTGATTTCTGTCCTCAGAGATGTGGAGCCTGTGTTGCAATTGCAGAGTTCGTTCTAGATTTGCTGAAAGTAGTTGTGACAGTGAATGGGAGGAAAAATATGGTTGGCTTCTTCAGCATACACATTAAATCTATGATGCTGAGAAAAAAAGTGAGATGCCTTCAAAACGAAACCGTGGAACACAGGTCAGTCCATGAGACTGCAAGCTCTAGACAACTGTAGCTGGTATGAGGGAGAGCAGATGCTTTTTATCTAATTTGGTGATCACACGAGAATAATGCTCTCTAGGCTGGGAGCTCATACCTTTCTGTTAAAAGCAGTGGTCCCTTCAGGCCTGAAAGGGCAAGGGGCTGAGCAATTTTTTTGGGATGTGCCCAGCACCCTCGTGAATTGGATCCCTTACTCCACAGGGTGGTAGCAAGAAGTGCTGCCTTACTAGGAGAAACAGAGAATCCTGTTTTATCTGGCATGTGCTCAGCTATTAACAGGCTTGTGTTTTTGCTGAGTAGCAGGAGCGACGGGGGTGGAGGAGGTAGTGGCTGGGTCTTTCATTGAGAAATGGATGTACTTTATTCTTCTCTTCAGATCTGATGCTGCCAGGAGTTATAGTGCCATCTTCTGGCTTCCCTCAAGTGGAACGGGGCACGCTCTGTGCTGTTACCCTCTTGGGAAACAGGTACAGAAGATTCTTTATTCGTATCTTCTTTCGAAACTAAAAATGAAATGAAGCTATTTTGTAAAGGAAGACTCTAGGGGTTTTGAGGAAATAAAAGTAGAATTATTCTCATGCATTTGATGCATGTGTACCTAAATAGTGGAAAACACAGCAGGAGAAAAATAACTTAAAATCCACTGGGTTAGGATATGTGAGCTCAGGTGGCAGCTTTGTGAATTGGTTCTTTTGGACAACTGGTAGATTTCTTTTGAAACAGATTTTTTTTTTAACAAAAGATTGTATTCTACACAGTTGTCTCTTTGTCTGTGAGGAAATTCAGAGAGAGGGAGCAGTGCTAAAGCTGTTGTCTTTTCCCCCTCACTGCTAGTCTCTTTTGGCAGTGCATATGCTTCTTGTACTTTATTAAAGCAAAGAATGCATCTCTGCATAACCTTCACTTTGGTATCACAGCTGCACCTATCCTTCGGATTATTTAAAAGACTGCATACCAGAAAGATGGGACAGAACCAGAAAATACCTAGATGCTTTAAACTAAAAAAAAAAAAAAGCAGGTTGTAAAGGACAAAGACATCATTAAAGAAATTCAGTATATCCCAGTGGCACAGCCTGTCTCTATCCAGGTAGCACAGTGTATTTGTGCTGTCCTGCTGTAATACTCCCTTCTTTTCCCAGAGCTCCTGTAGCAGTTGGAGTTGCCACTATGTCCACTGCGGAGATGCTGGCTGCTGGAATGAAAGGGAAGGGCTTTGCTGTTTTGCATACTTACGTGGATCACCTCTGGTAAGTACATCACCAGGCATTTGGTAAAACGTCTAACAACTCTCATTTAGTGGTCAGCCCAGCCCTAAACCACGACAGTACTAAAATAAAAATCTGTGCCCCAGTAAGCTTAATCCATCAGTTCAACATATTATTTGGGTACAGTTTAGATATAACCATTGGGAAGGTTTCAGCGATGTGTTTTTGGTGACTGCTCTTTTCTGACAGAAGCAGGTGTCTGTTCCGACATCTGCCCATTATATACATATTGAAAATAGATAAAGTTATTCACTCCATTCAGTTCCGTCAACCTTAGAGTAATTATTAGAGAAATGAAGTGAGAACATTCCTGTTACTCTGATCTTGGAAAATCATCTTGTTTTATAAAAAAGTGAGCTTTGAGTAATTTTTGCTTAAAAATGGTCAGCCGTGCCAATCTCAACCAAATAAATGAGTTGCTTTGCATTTGGATACAACTAGGCTGCTCAGGTTTAAATTAAGATTTGTGGGTGGAACATTGAGTTTATGGAGGAATATGAGTTAAAAATAAATTTTATATTTTCGAGACTGTGGAAAAAGATCCACGCAACTGCCAGTGCCTTTTATCAGGGTGACATTTGTTCATTGTCCTATGGGTTTCAAAGCAATAAACAGAAAGCTGTGTTACAATTTTTCTTCCTTTTATAGGGAATATGGTGACAAATCTTGTCCTCCTACCTTAGCTCCCTTGGTAACAGATTCTGCTGAAAAGGAGAGTGCTGAAGATGAGGAAGAGATGGAGGGGAAAGAGCCTGACATCAGCTTCTCCACAGACCCATTGCAGTGTGTGGATGTTGGTGATTTGAGTCTGAAAGAGCAAGACAGCTGTGCAATACTGATAGGAAAGGAGGAACGCAATGAGAGCAGAGCTGCAGAAGCAGCTGAGGATGCCAGCACAGAGGATCAGCAGGG